AATATAAGACAATGCAAATACTTTCTTTAGTACGATATATAACCATAGATTTATTTTAAAAATTCTCAGCGAGAATTCTTACCTTCATTCCCGTCATCGACATCATCTAGGAATCGGGCTTTCCTGCTAGATCGCATTTGAGTCTCGCTATTTGACGAAGGAGCGGCCGCCTCATTAGTTCTACACGTGGAGATGTCACCTTCATTGCTGGCACACTCGTTTGACCCTACAGCTTTCAGTTTTCTGTTCACGGGCTCGCAAGAACAAATGGCGATAAAACCGCCTAATACCAGAACCGCGAAGAGCCGCCAAAGCATGTTCGATCAGAACTGACGCTTTGTAGAGACCGTCATATTTATAGGCTCTAGCAATTAGTAATAATGGCGGAGTAAAGTGATGTTACGACATACAGAGCGTGAATGCATCTATGGTAAAATACATCATGCGCGTAAAATTATTCCAACCGCTATAGAACCGTACGTTTCTGCACGCACATGGTGGTGCACATATTCAATATATATAGTACCGTACTTATCACAATGTTAAATGGAGTACATGAAGCGCAGTGAGAAGATAAGTCCCAGCAGCGCGTATCATCATTTTCGACCTATCTAAAGTACGGAATAACGTGTATTTGTGGAGATACGCGGTGCAAGTTGACTCGTATATTCGGTCGCATTAGTGAGATAAATAGATAGATAGAGAATGAGATAGGGTGGGAAAAGTAGTAACGGAGAAAATGAAATAGATGAAATTTCAAATTTATCGAAATCGAGGGTCAGGCATCAACGAACATGTTGGTCAGAGTATCTATTTTTATGTAAGTTATTGTTATGCATTTTTGATGTACATATAAAGGTTACGGAGCCGTAATTTGCGAGAAAGGTAATTTATTTAATATCAAATAGACCGATAATAGAAACGTTGTTGAAGAAAGTAGAAAGTGATGTGAAACATATGATTAATTTACGTGTTAGTCCTAACTAGTGTTTTATTTGTCATATATATACATACATTTTCTATATTTTCGAGTTGATCGCTTGATTCAAAGTATATATTATCAATTATTTCCATTTGTTATTTAACATTGACGATTATATAATAGGTATATACTATTATTAATTGGGAAATTTTTCTTCGAATATAACAGGATTAAAAATGATGAGACTCTATTAAGTTTCCTACTATTAAGTTTATAATGATATTATAGTGATATTATTTCTCAAAAGTTATCCACAGTATTTTAATCTAACAAATGAACAATTATCATCATCATCATCATCATCTAGTATATTATTTTCAGCTATACGCATCTTGGTATAAAGTGATAGTAAAAATCGTTATATTACAATAAAAAAAACAATTCGGATTTGATTGCCTACTACAGCTACGTACTATAAAAAAAGTTATTAAATGAATTGGGAGCTGAATTAAGATAATAAGGATTGTTAAGTAAATTAACAAAACTTGCTTTTCACTTGTTATAGCTCCCACGATCCTCGCGCGCCGGAAAGTGGAGAATAAGGCCTAAAAAGCATGATCTTTTTCTTCGACGACTGTTTTGTATGCCACTGGGCCAATCGAGCATCCTCGATTCACTACTCAGAGTATGCAGGGTTACAGCCTCCGAAGGTTACCAGCTATACGCATCCTAATATGGATGTTTGTGCTGTACAAAGAATGCAGCTCTCGCACTTGAAATTCCTCGTCTGAAATATCTCTGGCGTTAATGTTAGGTATAATTCAAAGAGCCATTATTTTTTTTTTCATATTTTTTTGCAATGTTGTTTTATAGATCCTGTTATGTCTGCTATGTAAATTTGATGTTTTTGCGTATTGCTTTCCTTCGCTCGATTATACTCGACTATACATAACGGGCAACGCTCGATTATGAATGATTTTTTGCTGTAGTATACATACATGCCGTTTTAATATTTAAAATCAATTCTGATAGAGTAGCTCATCGGAGTACGAATTCTTTCGTTTTATTATTGAACCATACTAAATTTAATGCTTTAGCGAACGAGCGTGATCAGGTAATGAGTTAAATCAGAACCCTCCGCATGGCATGCGAATCGGCAGAACCACCTGTTGCTGGTCGTTGACCTGAATCTAATAACAGGCAGAAACGTCCTGTTCTTGTCTAAAATATCTCTCGAGGAAATCGCTCATGACGGTTTAACCTATTGCCTCACTTTTATTATTCTGGAAACCTGTGCGTTCCGCACCATAACTGATCTTCCGTATAGATTAAGCTTTTACTACGAAGCGCGCGCGAGGCTTTTCTGAAGTATCTACTTTTCCCCACTTTGTATAGTTTGGTAGATTTAAATCACAAAGTCCAGTGGTAAATGAGTATAGTCTATTTTAATTTTCAATTTTCTTCGCGAAGAATAGTATTATTATGACCCAGTGACGCCTCAGAAAGTATTCTTTCGGCAAACTTCCGCGAATTAGACGTTGAGGGATGAATGGGATAATTCATGCGACGTCATTAAGATAAATGTCTCGGCAGAAACGTCCTACTTGTCTACTTTTGCGAACAATCGAAAGTCCGCCGCTTTTGTGACTTGGGACCTGAGTGGAGGTATCAGATAACGAATAATAATTGGGCCTAACCGCACACTGTGCGTAGGTTCATTGCGGCGGAATCCATTTCTCGCACCGTTCGTGAGAATATAACTGTGCGCTCAGAATGTGGCACGGGCCTTAATACAGTTAAACACTGTCTGTGTAGGCCCATGGCACTGACTCTGGGATAATCGCGAAGTAGGTAACAGTATGGAGGATGCATCGTTGGCTGTTGTCGCATTAGAGATGCGCTAACCTCGATCGAGTGTGTCGAGGATGCGCCATGCGCTCAGCTTCACGCTCCTAACAAACCGTGATACAAGAAGAAAACAGAATACGTTGGGTCCGTCAGTTTCGTGTTGTGGGTCTGCATACATCGTTAATCCTTTCGAGGCTAAGTGCTATAATTTCGTACAAGAAAAGACGCAGATCTTTTATCTTTCACGTGCAGCCCACGATAATGTTTTAAAAGAAAGAAAAGGCTGTTCCCACTATAATCCAGAATTATAATAATAATAATTTTATAAAAAATAGCTCTTGTTGAGTTTCAAAGTCTTGCTTTATTTTAATTGTATAAACGAGTTACTTATCTCCAAGTAGTAGTAAATTGGTATGAAAACATCCGCGTTAATGTAATCGGTAGGCATACACGGAGTGCATATGTATGTCAAAACATTACTGAGCAAATTAGCTAATTATACACCATAAGGCTGTGAATTCCACATGCTCGTAATATTCATTCATCTACCGATAATCTCCATTTCATAGTTATCGCGCCAAAAATGAATGACAGCTGGTTTATACGTGTGCTGAGGGATGCGATGTGTACGCAATCAAAGCGCAATTTGCGCAAGAGTGAGGTGCTATGCAGTCATAAGTTGTACTGTTGCGCAATATAGCAGTATCACATCACGAAGCACGTTACTGTTTTATTCGTTTCGCTTTACGCGTATTTCGGTATATCAATAAATCTGGAACGAAACAAAATCTCTTTTTCATATCTTGCTGAAAAAACAGAGATAGAAGATAATTTCCGTTATATTTCCACGTTTTTCTCATGCAATTTATGTTTATTTATTATTTTCAGAACAAGAACTATGTGCAATGAAAAAAAATAAAAAGAGATGAGAAGCGATTCGCAACGATTCTCGTTACATTTTTTATATAAATACGAAACATTATCGAACCACTGCGCGCACCGTCTGTACGGGACACATCATGATGAGAATGATGCACCGAAATATAGGGAAAGTAGATCATCCGTGTCGATAATCCTTGTTCATTCCGCGCCGCAGGAAAATCGTACGATAGGAAGGTCACGGGTTGTACGTAACCTGGAACCAGTTTCTAGCATCCTCACGTTATGCCAAGGGTCAGCAAGATCACGGTGCCAGATACTCTGCCAATGCAGTCCACGGCGCGGCGCTCCCCAGTCCCCTCTGTGGTCTCATCCCAACACAGGCTTTGCCTCTCCTCCCGCGCAAGATGCGAATCATGATGAAGCCGCACACTACATCACGCGGAAGACGCACACATAGTATACTCGTAGGTACGTAACTTGTAACCGCCGCGCCGCGCGGCGAAATTTAATGAACGAATCGCGTGGCGGCCGTTGAACAGCAGTGTCTCGATCTCGAGACGCGAGTGGGTCTCTGTGTCAGGAAGGGTCACATGCTCTTGGCGCGCTAGCATCATGAGAATTTTTACCTCGGCCCCGTCCCGCCGCGATGGCAGCTGTCTAGCGAGCTGAAAGAGAAAGACGAGGATGCAAGGACGAGAGGGGTTCGCGACGGAGAGAAGATAGAAGAGGATTATCCACTCATACAAGTGAGGTCGTGTCGTCACGTGCACCGGCATATCCATCCGTTTATACGAGAGAGATACCTCACCCCCTTTGTGAAGGATAGCATCTAGCGGAGGATGGCTCCTCGCGCTGGTATATATCTGCCCGGAGACTTGGTCCTGGTGCCAGTTCTCTCTAGTCGAGGATCATCCAGCTCGTGGGTGCGCGCAACTATTTGTATCTCCGACTAGTCACTTCGAATTTCGAGTCGCGTGCCTCTCGCGTGATTTCGACAATACGAGGTGTCTGTGATTTCGTCCCAAATTGCCCAGCTAAGCATTCGCGAGTTGGAAAGCCATCCGAGTCCAGCATGTCGGCGATTAAGATTATATCCAAGTGCGTGCTGCTATTGTTAGTCTGCGGTGCAACTATTCACGCCGATGAGGACGGCGGATTCCTTGAGCGAGGATATCGTGCTCTTTATCGCGTCTACGAAGAGTGCGAGCATCGCAATATCGGTGTGTCGCCGTGTTTGAAGAAGAAGGCGATCACCTTCTTTGAGAGACTCGGTCGTATACAGACTTTGCCGATCGGCGACAATCTCGAGCTGGTCAAAGTCGCGTCTACGACGGACGACAGCTCGAAAAACACGGTCTCCGATCTGGAGAAGACTTTGGCTAGAACCAACGGAGGGGCCATGGACGAAATACTCAACGATATTCTGCTCGAGCGCATAGCCGCGCTAATGAACAGTTTCAACGTGCAGATCAGCTTACCAAAGACAAGTTCCAGCGATTTGAAACGAAGTATCGAGGAGGGTCGTGGGAAAATGAAGAAGATGATGGGCATGATGATGATGGGAATGGCGATGAAACTCGCTGCATTAATTCCTATTGCTATAGGCGTGCTTTTCCTGCTGGCCGGCAAGGCTTTAATCATCAGCAAGATCGCTTTGGTTCTGTCGCTCATCATCGGCTTAAAGAAGCTACTCGCCCAAAAACAGGGTGGCCACGACCATGGTGGCTGGCAGCAAAGCGGAGGTGGATGGGACAGAAGTCTGAAGGGAGTCGTAGGCGCACCGGTACCATCATTAACGGAAGCCGATCGCGAGTACGCTCACACCTTGGCTTACAGCGCGCGGCAGAAGCATTAAACAAAAAAGAAGCGACGGGAAATCTTCAGGTATTGGGGGAGGGAGCAACGCCTGTATCCAAAGGAGCAGATGATACGCGATTTTAGAGACAGTTCGAGACATCGACATAGTTTCGCTTATTTATGTTTTAAAACAAATTTTATCGTTCATGAGACGTCGCATTTATGCGTGCTGCACAAATTGCGAGGAAAATAAGAGTGTAAAGATGGAATATATGTGTGATGCTGATGTTGGAATGGCAAGATATTATTGTGAAAAGAAATACAAGATATGCAAAAGTTTCAGAAATATTAAAAGTAGGAAAGTAGATTCGAATGGGCGAGCTGTCTCATTCGTGTAAATTTTTACGAGTCTGCTAGCTTTTTGTATGATCATCGATATATCATTGTAATCGTATCGCAATTTTTTGTCTTTTAAATTAACGGTTTTATAAATGACGTAACTATTTAATGCAATGATACAATAATAGAAATGTTATATACATTTGACGCGAAAAATAAGTTACCGCGACTCTTAACGATTTTCTGTAAAGAGAGAAAAAAATGCGCAAACCACAGCTAGAATATGTGAAAATAACTGGATATGTGTAAAGAAACTGGAAAAGAAAAGAAGTTGCAACGACAAGTGCAACTTGTTTTGTTTTACAGTTTTGTAGTTCAACTGCCAACTGTCCCAGCAAATAATCTAATGAAATGATAGCGAGAGAGTAATTTTCACACACGCGAATTTCTAACGGTGCTGGTTTAGAAGTTTTTGTCGACAAGTTTTGTCGGAAACACGATCAATTTCGAGGTCGAGCGAAAATATGACAGACTTCATTTTTTGATTAGCCGAATTTGCAGTCGTTTCTCAGTATACTTGCGATATATTTATATTTATTTATAGTACCGCACCAAAATAGGCGGCAAAGTATATTTATTTATTTTAGATTTATAAGATAACCTTAGAAAGAGTTTAGAATGTGTAGCTTGCGACAAGTACTTACACGAATATCCGTATCCATGTTTACGTTACTAAAATCGTGTGTTCAGTAGAGTAAGCGTGACGACTAAAACACTTGAGTATTAAAACATAACAAATAAGAAATACTAATTCCATCATTTGTCAACGTTTATTATAATGATTAACTCATATATATATATATATATATATATTACATTTTAAGAAACGTAACATTTATTTCGTAATGATCGTAACCATGCGGATCGTTTCACGTAGCGTTTTTTACTTGTGGTCTCTAAAAATAATTTGACTTAATGTGTTTATAAGTACACACTTGACGACGCGACGCATTCTACGAAATGTATACGAGATGTATACGTTTGACTCCGAGAAGCGATTATAAATTCGGCCTTAAGTGTTACTTTGTGCACACAGGCGTTCAATACTTTCTCAAAGATAACGGTAATTAGTTATACAAGTTTAACCTGATTGTAAATTATTACGAAATAAAGTCGTATGTCATTCTCACTTCTTAGTGTATTTTTGGTGCACTCCTTCCAAAGATCCTTCCTGTCTGATTTTCTTGTCAGTGTACTTTTAATCCAAGAACGGCAGCGAATAGGGCGAAGAAAAATCCCGCGAGTAGCGTCGTTCCTTTGAGAAGAATCAGACCTCCGAGTATCGTTGGTATTAGAGCAACAAATTTAAGCTTGTACGCCATCAGCAACGCCATCATTGTACTTGGCCGTACTTTTCGTTTCCTACGCCGTGTTTCATCTAAAAATTATCACGAACAATATGATTAAAATCTTGAGCGTATTTTTGGTGACTTAAATTTCTTAAATTATGGAAATACGAATTATTTAACACTGTTATTTAATATTAATTTCATAAATGACATGATTTCGTGTATATGAAAATAATTTCACGTATGTTACAAGATTACATAATCAACATAACGTGAAATATAATATTAATTATTAATGTAATTGTTAAAACTTTTGATATAATTTTAACTTATTACAATTGAAGAGAAATTAACGTTATGTTTATTAATATAATTTCTTAGTGTTTTAGTTCAACAATATGAAACTCTAAAAGTGTCAAAATAAATATTGGATACATTCTATCTCAATAAAAAAAGCCATTACAGTATTAAAAGAAAACCGTTATACAGCGGTATTGATAATCATACTTCATCAAGATGACAATTCAAATATAATACTTGCTACTATCTTTTTGCGTCAGTGCTTTATAGCACTTGCATTACGAGATAAAAACATTTCCGCCATTAAATATTATAACGTTATCATTTTTTATTTACCTCGGTCCCTCATTTCAATCTTGGAATATGCATTATAGATGTCTTGATCAATTGAACGATGAATCTTGGCTACCTTGTCTCTGTCACCGTTGCGACCATTGACCGAAGAAATAGGACTCTCGGACGTCACATTATCATACATGTACCTGAGGACCTTCTTGTCGGAAGTGACGGCTCTCCCTTCCTCCTGCCATTTCTCAAGCGGCGATCTCGAATGCTCAATCGCGCGGCTAACGCAATTCAAGGTCAGCAGAAGCGCGACCAAGTTAACTCTCGATAACATCTTTTCTTGCGTTCATGAAGAAAGGGTCCTCACCGGAAATCCACTGGCGGTATCTGCACGCGGTTTCGTTTACAATCTCACTCTTTCGCCTGTCTCACCCTATTTCGTTGTCAAGATGTCATCGCGCACTGACGGTTTTCCCAGGTCACGGAGTACCCGACGAACGTTTTCTCGAATCGTAAAAACATCCGAATGGATGACAGGGTGAACACTCTTTTTTCCAGGATCGACGACTGGTCACGAGAGATGAGCGCTACGACCGTCACGACATGCCTCTCTTCCGTTGCTCGTGCCCGCCTTTTGTCACGCTCGTTCTGTTCTGTATGTGAAATTTTAGAGTTGTTATCTATGGAAATGTGTGACATATAGGAAATCAACTGGGAGTGGACAGTGTAAGACGAAGGAATGAACGGTGCAACGAGCAACTGGGAACTAACCGATCCCGCCGTTGATCCGCCGCTCGACGACAAACTGACCGGACGCCGCGGCCGCGGATACCACGCCGGGCACGCTTCAGTTGCCGAGAAAATCGGCAGTCCGTGTAAAATGAGCTCCGACCGACAAGCCAGCGATATATACGCTCGCGGTAAACACTATGATCCAAATTGTCAGTACCGATATATGTATGTGTCACGTTATATCGCAAAACGGTATGTACGACGCAGGGACGCGGTCGTTGCCGATAAGACGGCTTCTGCGGGTATTTTCGCACGAGAGAAAGGGAATGGAGGCCTCTCGCGCGAATGAGCGCGTTATAACGCCTTTATAGGGGCGGAAATGGCAGAACACGATGCGTCGACGTCGACGTCAATGTTTTGCGATGTGTGTGACCGCGCGATTCTTTTTCAGTTACGCCACGCAGACATCCGGGCCGGAGAGAACCGATGAATGGTCTTCATGTTGGAAACGCTTTATGTCTCGTGTCATCGTATAAGATCGCAGCGTGATTTGATCTATACCTCGAATGTTATTCCTATCTCGAGGAAAGTCAATTTACAATTGTGTAATTCAATTTTCGATTCTCTCTGATCAAATACTGCGATATGTACTTTTGTATCAAATGACTTTATTCTTTTATGTTAGGTAACTCGTAACCAAGACGCTTGACGCTCACAAGTTAGTTAGCATAGTATGTTGTTCGATAATCTCGTGATTGATTAGTCGCATTACGCAATTTTAAAGAGAAATTAGCGACTGTTTAGAGATAAAGCTTATTTTAAAATTAGCTGAAAAACACAAATTTATTTGATGTTTTCACTGCTAGATAATCCCGTTTGTAAGTTAAAATGAACTGCTGTTAGTTTGAGTTTAGCTGATTTATTTGTGATTTGTGATTGAAATGATATCCGGAAGGTCTGGGAAAAGTTGTGTTACTGTTTCACTTCACTTCTTCCCACTTGCTTTTCAATTCTGTTACGCCACTTTTAGATTATCGATTGTCTTTTTTGTCAGAGCATCATCTTGCGCTCATAACTGCGCTATATCTTACAATCTGCTGCATATTTATCTAAACTATATCCGAAGTACTCGGAGCACGTGGTTCCGCTTAAGCGCACAATAGAATATTGAACACATTGCCGTAACCAACGACATGAGCGTCTTATTTACCCGCAGGATAAGAAATTAGAAATCTGCGTGTATACGCGTAGAAATCTACGTGAAAAGATTGACCGATCGTAGATGATTTCGATGGGATATTTTTTTTAGTTACGCCCAGCAAACATGCGGGTTGCTAATAACCCACGGCAGCTTTAAATGATCCTTACAACTTGATAATATTTTCTTCATTTTGCGTTTAATGCATCAATTTGCGAATGTAGGTATATGGGTCCAAAAATATTTATAAATACTACTCTTGCAGTTACTTTCGATTTGTGATGCCTTAAGACAGTACAAAGATATAATATTTTGACATAATAGAAACATTGGTGTTACTTAATTGATTTAATAGATTCTCTATTGCTTTCTCATATTTCTTCAATGACATAATTTATAGTGCCACAGAAATATTTCTCTATAAAGTTACACATCATTGAGATTCAAATAAAACGGAGACTTTAATTGCGTTATTTATCGAAACTGTGCTGCAACTTCTGCGAGAGATTGACATGATATGAATTTATATTACTTAGCACCCCTACAGAGTAGATAGACAGTGAAACGCTTAATACTTATTAAATTATAAAAAAATATAGTGAAATTATTAATAACTTTGCATAATTAAGACAAAGCATTCAAAACATGTATCGGATGCTCGCACACGAGATTGATGAGACAAAGCGTTATATCGCGCGAAATTCCATTTTATTGAATGATTAATTGACTTTTTCCATGGCAATCATCAAGTTCTTATCTGCTCTGAAAATCACGAATCAAATGCACCACAACGAACAACGGACACTTAACAGTCATTATCACGTATGTGCTCTCTCCGTAACTTTCTTCATTCTCGGATGTTGCATCGAGCCAGTTTCATGAGTAATAAACCTGTTTATTTACTATCACAGGAAATCTGCACGCACTGATTATTCATTGGTATAAAAATTGTCTTTTTGAATGTATCGTTTCTAATTCGCTAATAAAAGATATTGCCCATGCATTAGAATGTTTGTTGCTATTAAAATCATCAGACTGGCTATTTGAAGACAGATTATAGTAACATATTAGTCAAGTCCGTCGTGTATGAAGCCGGCAACCCACATATCGATATAGTAGTTTTATTATTCATATGCCACCTAGGTGTATCACTTTAGATTCTTGGAAAGAGGAAGTCAAGAATAATTTGACAATTTTTTTCAAGAATTTGAATTCCAAATAACTATGACCTGATATAAATGTTATAAATGAAGAGAACATCGAAAGATAAAATAAAGAAAATAATGTTGATCTTGTTATTGGTTTCTGGTTAGATCATTATTGTTGTGTTGCCATTATTTTTTTTTATTACACAAGTTATAATAAACTCTTATAATAATTACTGTAAAATTTTGTGACTGATAAAGTATAATTATACTTATATATTATTATTACGATTATTATGATTATTATAAGTGTTCAACAAATATACGTTCTTGAGATATCAGAAACTGGCAATTGTCTTTACAATAAATAAAAAATTTTACTGACAAACAATATTGCGTGATTACTAGTTTTATGAGCATAATGAATATCATTTGTAAGCTTACTCAAGTGTAACTATTATTACTGTTATTACTGCTGCTAGCCACAGTCCTAATTTTGACAAATAACAGGTGCTCACAAAGGAGTCTGTCATTAACGACATAACAACTTTATTCGTAAAGTAAATTAACGTATAATAACATTAATATGTATATAAGTACATATAACGGTATGAAATAATAAAAGGTACAAATTTAAACACGCATGAAAGTCTCAAAAAATTGCTTTTTGGATAAAAAACGGTATATCTCTGCAGTTTAAAAATAAGCTTTACTGTAATTTATTAATAACAATACTTTTTTCGTATGTAATCAAAATTATTTAAGAAAAGTATTATTGTGATTTAACAATAATTTCTAAAAATATGATTTTGATAACGTTGACGTGTACTCTTCATTGCTTTTCCGACGTTTATCTATCGTGTTCAAGCGTATAACATCATTTTTTTGTGACATTGATAGAAAATACTTTGCTTGACGATGAGCACGGAAATAGATCTTTTTTGCAGCCTTTGTCAATTAATTGAAAAGTCGGTTTCTAAGGACAAATACACTTTCTTCTGCGGTTGATTAATGCTTAGTTTAAAACACCGCTCAATAGAGATATGATATCATTTACTAATAATTCGTCAAAATCTTTTAATATTAATTGATTATTAACAATATTATTAATATCATTTTAGCTTCTTTATAGTATAGCATATTTGCAAAATTTTATCATTAATAAATGAAAATATCACGAAAAATAGCTGGCTCTAATTTAATTATTTATCGTCACAATAATCGGAACGCAACTGATTCTCTTTAATTATAGATTTGCTTTTAAATGAAATAACTAAGTTTGCATTATTTCTGGCTTACTTTTCTCGATAAACAGGCCGTAAACAGACCTACGGGTCGTGGCAGCGAAGCTCGTCTTCGTGCCACAACTATTCGAGTGTAAAACGAATTGATAATAAATGCTGTACACTCTCACGACAAAGGACAGTAATGGTGAGGACGTTTGACGAAGAGAACGATCTACTTACCCCGGTCGAAATATTCCGGGGAAGATTTTTCGAGAGTGGTCGACGCGAACAGCGTCCAATGGTCGAGGTAGACTAGCTTGGGAAGTACGGGAGTGGACGTTGGGTCCTTCGTCACGCATCAGTACCAAGTTAGATGAGCGGTCTCCTTCTCTGAGCTTTTCGCGGTCTTACTATATAAACTAATGGCCCGGTCTAGCACGAATGTCAGTTAACATTGGCGAAGAGGTCGGTCGCGATCACAAGATAAGCGAAGTTTTCCAAATAAAACGTGATCATAGAGTGTGTTATAAGAAAGTATAAAAAAGGAGTAAAAAGATCTAGATGCTGGAAAGATGTTACTGCTGTACATGCTACTTTTTCTACCAACATTCGTCGCATCACAGGGATCGCAATCAATGAAGACACTGGACCGAAAGATGCTGTGGAACGACTCTAAAGGGTCTTTAGACTGGATTGGTGAAAGTTTTTTAAACACCATTGATACAATTTTTCCTATTTCGAAATCGTGTGACGATGTAGAAGGTACTAACAATAATAATTATTTGTGGTTGAATGTAGCTCAAGAAAATTCCATTTTCAAATTTTACATTTGGTGTTTCATAGAAAAAAAAGTTCAGATTTTGTTTTATTCTATTCTCTTATATTAGATAATAAAGCGGTGCATAGAGAATAAACAATTAATTATCTTCAGACAAACATATAATAAAATAAAAAACTTTTAACAGAAATAACTTTTATATTAATAATTAATTACTATCAAGTATTTAATAATATTATGGATTTTAAAGAAAAAAATTATAGCTTTTTTAACCGTTTGTATAAAATTTAAATGTTATAATGTATAATTTTTATATTACATTTAAATATAAAAAATATTGTATTAAATTAATATACGAGAGGTATTAGTATAGACGCGAAATATATGTAAGCATTACTTTGAAGAAAGAAATATCTTTACTATTAAAGACATTAATATTATTATAATCTACTGATTTTATAACTATATTTTTAATTGTATTAATAGAATGTCAAATAGAAAAATAAAATTATTGCAAAATTTATGGCTATTTAATGATGCCTGTATATAATGCAATTTAGTATTAAAGCACTATGCAAAAGTGTTTAAATTTGGATATACATTGGCAAAATTTTTTTCTTATTACTATCATAAGTTTTTTATAACAAATTTTATATAATATATTTGAATAGACTAAAGGAATTGCGAGTAACGAGCAAATCTAGTGTGGTATTTCAAGTTTAGTGGTCAAAGATTTGAATAACTTGCTGTGAAATTGAATTATGAGACCGCGTATTAATCAAACGTTGTTAAAGGAGCGTGTAATTGCACATGTTGTCCATTACGTTATGATACTTTTGGGTTTACGGACGCGCGGAGCCTCCCGGTACAAAAACATAAGTGCTTTCTACTCTAGTTCATCTTTATTAACTTCCGTGACGATCGTACCTAATAAGGAACGTATACTTCGATAAAGCTCGATATGCACATCCTGGTTTTCGAGGGAGCAAGATACTTTTATATAGCATAACTATAATATAACTTTTTAAAGTCAGCATGTGTAATGATTAGTAGAACGTTGCAGGCAATGTAGTATAGAATATATCAAGTGGGGATATAAAGGATATGTTTATTTTAAAGCGTGTCACACATTTATATATATTTCTTATATATTTTTTACATCCATTCATATTTACTAAATATCTCTTTCTTTATTAATTGCAGGGCGTAAAGATAATAAATACAAAAAACTGAATAAGTATGTTCTGCCTTTGATTATTGGGTTTTTGCTGATAAAATCGATTCTATTGCCCATCACGTTGAAGGTATTGGCTATTCTAAGTGGAAAAGCTGTTGTGCTGAGTTTGATGAGTTTGATCCTGGCAGCCATAATTGGATTAAAAAAGATTGCCCACAAGGAGAGCAGCTACGAATTAATCAACAAGCACAGGCGACAGGATGTGTACGGTTTCATTGGCGACGTACAAGAATTCGAACCTTATCGATTTTATAAAGAACGACGTAAAAAGAAGTGAAAAGAATTATTAACGGACAATAAAATTCTTCGTCTGTTCCTCGATTATTCTTATATAATATGTTTGTCGTATAGGAAAATACCAATTTTCCTTTAATTTTAAGTAATTCTAAAAATGATTGGCATTATATACATAAAATTAAGAATAAGATATATTCATTTATAGTTTTAATTAATTTTTTATTTGCTTTATTTATTTATTTAAGTGTCTAGCTATGATAAGATTACACTAAGATCAAACATTGTAAATATAATAAATTTAAAAGAAGCATAATATTGAAGCGTTATCATATATATCTAGTGCTGTAAAAGTTCCTCTCTTATTCGTATTAACATCAATGAAGAATTTTACAATGGAGATGCGTTAACTGCTTGCGTTAATCGTGTTAAATACGATAACTGACTGTTGGTATATTGGTGAAAGTTACCACAAACTATGAAATTTGTAGACGAAAACATACAATTGCTAAAATACATATACAATGCACTTATAGTTAATTTATTACATCTCTATAATAGCTTTATGTCTCTTTTACTATTGTAATATTTAACAAAATTCTTTTCGAAGATGAGTAATCTCAACGTATCTTAACGCATTTCACTAGTGTGATGTAAGAAAGAGAGAAAGTTTCTTCATTCCGCGAGGAACTAGTTTGTAGATAGAGTATCCATTTCTCTCTTCGTAACTGTCGAAGTTAAATTACATCTAGTTATGGAAATAAATATGTTTCCAATAAAAATTTTTTGAGCGTTACAATTACAACATATTTATATAATTCTGTAATCAAAGTATAAATCTCACTATTAATTGTGAAGAAATAAAATATTGTAACTATTACAAAAAGACCACTTATTATTGTAAAATGTAACATTTTTTTAAACAATCTAAAATAGGAAATATTAATACGATCAATTATATAACAAATGCTCGAGAGAAAGCGAGAAAAGGAATTTTCTTCACGTTATTCACATGAAGAATAAAACGGAAAAAAATAAAGATATGACTGGAACTGACCCAAATGTAAGTCATCGACCTTCAATTCCTAAGTCCTGTGCAGCTAGAAACGCTCTTCAAGGGCTTTTAGCTTCATCATATCATTTCTATAACATATTATTTTTATATTGTAAATATAAAGTTTTACGTATGCATATATCAAATATTACATATAGGTATTGATAATTGTTTGCGTTGGGTATAATCACCGACTGATGTATTAATTAGTAATTTTTTGTACTGTTCAAATAAATAGAATTATTAAGATTTTTTGTTTCTTAAAAGGAAAATATGTTTTTAAAATAATGGTGAATTTGTCATAGATAAGAATTGTTATATGAATTTCTCCGAAATATCATATTCGTAGGAGGAAGTAACTGATAGTATTCATAACCCAGAAAATTAATCGCAAAATTGTCTTTGTTCCTTCCAGGTCGAATACCGTTAAACGAAGATGACGAAGTACCTCCTGTACCTGTTAAATATTTAAACAGATTCGTGTGGAGCACAATGGAATACCTCCTGTGAATAAGTTATTTGTTACTTTCTCAAGGTTGGTTGCCTGAAAAAGCAACGTTGATGATACCTTTTATTGTTTATTGTTTCGTCACATCAATTTCTCTCATGTATAATCTAGTATACATCTTTTCAAATGTGAATTTAATAAACTCAATATATGATGTCAAAATTGTTAAGAGTACGTGCGATCTCTTATAAATCAACTATTTTGAGACTACAATAATGTCTTCTTCTGTCTGTATTTTAATACTTTAAATGTTTTTAAAAAATGAAAATTGTCACGGTGCAGCTGGTGGAAATTCTTGTAAATCAGAGCTAAGCGAGTGTAATAAAGTTGAAAAACAAAGCAAATTTGTAATAATAGTTTATCATATACTTAGATATTGTTCATAAAATGTCGAGTTATTTGAAAATAAAACATCTCACAATATATCTCTCATTTTATTATAATAATTACATTTTACAATATTCGACGAAAACATACTAAAATAATGAGGTGGACACAAAAGTAGTAAAAAAAAAAGTTTTAAATAGTAAAAGAAATTTTATTAACTCCAGTTATATCAGAAAACCTGTCAGAGACGTAATCTATAGTTCATATGTATTACCGACGACGGCTGGGTCAAGGTAAGCAGCTTGGTGCACGTGCTTGGTTGCAGGAGAATGCATCGGTCCATTTTATAAAGGAAGCTGGACTATGATGCTTGGATTGTTCCGAAAAGATATTTAAAACTAAATTGATATCTTATAATTGATATGTTAAAATCAATAATAATGAAAATAGATTTAATAGATTTCAAATATTCTTTATTTATATTTCGTATTTCTTTTGAATATTTTTAATTTTATTTAATATAATATCTAAAATTGTATATTCTGCGATATGTATGCGCCTGCTTTACTCACAATTCAAAGAAAAATTACTACTAGAAATTGTTCACATTTAGCGTCACCTAAATGCACACGCACAGGCTACTTGTAAGAAAAGCGTATATCCGCGACCGCGAAGCACGTGCAACTGTGAATGGCGGCAAGGTGCGAAATGCACGTCTGTCATCACCGTTGTTGTCAGTTTTCTAAACAATCTGCTGCGCGTGAAGAAAAAACAGAAAGTGCCGTATGTCAAATTGTTAATCTTGCCGACGCGACGAGAAGAAAGGAAGCGATATCTAAAGAAGTAAAACCCCACATCAATATAAAGTACTTATTTTTAAAACTAAATTATAAGATATGTTCAACGATTATTTAATCAAACTAGATGTTGTCACCAAATATAATAGTAAAGGCTCATAAGATTAGAAATCAATCAAAGAAAGATGGAGCGTGGAGCCGTAACAAGGTGTTGGTGTTCATATATTCTATACTTCCGTAAAGAATTAACGAATTGTAATGTACATGCTGTACATATACATATATTCCAACTTAATAGACTGCGCGCCGCAAAGCTGCGTTGTCACCAAAAAGATATTAATACCCTTCTCAAATATAACATCTTCAAAGGTCTTCCCTCCAATAATTCCTGAATCTATAATAAGTGTTACCTTCCCTACTGACCCAAATTCTGAATGGTTACTGTGGTAAACGTAAACTTCTCTCGGTGACGTTAGGGAGAGCGACTTCTAGGTCCGCCCAAGCGGTGACGCGTCTCTCCATACGCAGTCGTTCGTTTGTTTAAAAATTATCGAAGAAAGTTTTCTGGGGAGGTGGCTGTGGCATTTACCCGTAATGATGAGTCGTTCGTCTCATCGTTCCTTGTCGTCATACACGTCGTCGTCATCCAGAGTGGGGATACTGAGGAGGGTCCTACATGGTGCACACCTATAAAGATTCAAGCGCCGCAGGGCCAGGTCACACTTTGTTCCGAAAATTTTCCGGAGAGTAGTTTGCTCCGTCTCCGGCCACAGCCTCTCGGTGTTTCGTTTCGTGACGACTTGACGAAGTGATTAGACGAAGAAGATGAACAAATTGCTGGCACTGGTACTTCTTGCTGCGTATACCGCAGCAGGACCTGCGAGCGTTTCCACGCAGCCGTCTCAGGATCTGAATTGTTTGGAGCACGACAATGAGTTCTTCAGCTGCATCTTCGTGAAGACCATCAGTGCTCTCGACAGAGCGGCTCGATCGAGGGACATCAAGATCATCGACGGCGTCACTTTCGTACGAGACACCCCGAGTAAGTTTTTATATTTATTGCATATATATTATTCTTAAATTTTAACCATATCAATCTGTATAATGTTAACTTTAAATAACATTAAATTTATTGCTGTAAAGTTATTAGTATAATATAAAATTTAACAAATATTATATATTACTGTAAATTAAGTCAGTACAAAATACAAAAAATGTTGAAGAATGTTAGTTTTGAAGAAATTTATATCTGCTTCTAAATATGCTTATTAAAGTTATATTCTTGTAATATTTATGAGAACAGATATGCGATAGTGCACAATTTATATTTTTTATCAATTTTTGTATATATTCTGAATGAGATAATAATTATGGTAACAATTAATAATCATTCTTCTTATTTAAAAAAATTGATCTTCTAGTGGACCGCATTGGTAAAAATTTAAAAACAAACGAAGAGGAGATCATGAATGAATTACCACACGAGAGCTCTGACAGAGCGATAAAACTTGCCAACATGCTGTATGATTCGGTCGTCTCTTTTATAAAGAGTCACAGCTTGAAACTTAGCATGCCCGAAGGTTCGGTCTCTCGCGCCCTGGTTGAAGGTAAGTCTTATTCCTTTTGCCTAAGTATTTCGATTACGCAATTGTTCACTTTTCCTCGATTATGTCTATTCGATTAACGTTACGAATTCGCGACGTCATGAGTATAAACGAATAAGCGTCTCAGCAATCTCAGCATGCCTTTCACCTTCGTGATATCTATATGTACGACGTCAGGCCTGTTCCGGATAAACTCGTTCTTCAAGAAAAAATGATTCGCTTTCCTTCTCAAATGTATTTTAAAAAAGTTTAAGAAGATTGTAATTATATTATTAGAATTAGGATATAACATTCCTATTAATCATTCTTATTTTCTAAATATAATTATGCAACTTTTACATCTTCCAAATATATAAATAATATTAATATTTAATATCTCTTTATATATCAAAAAGTTAAACGTTAAAAGTTAAATCAAAAGATCTAACAAATATAATATTAAGTTTGTATTGATATTTCTATTTTTATTAAAATATGTATTTTAGTATAATATAAAATATAACAAAATACGAGTCTCCTCACATTTAAATAATTAAATTAATTTCAGTTTCTTATATTGTTGATATCCTTTATATTAATTTAATCATACTCTCATAATCTAATACCAATTATATTAATTTTTTTCTCATGATTAGGACGTGCCAAGATCAAGAAAATGGTTCTACCACTGATTGCCGCAGCGGGTCTCAAAATTTTTGCGTTGGTACCGATCTTGCTCGGCGGCTTAGGTCTGCTGGCTGTGAAAGCTTTAATCTTCGGTAAAATCGCCTTAGTCGTTGCCGGTATCATGGCATTCCAGAAGCTTTTCGGTGGTACCAATGTGGCTAGCAGTTTCTTCAATAAGAGTCCCGCGCCTGTTTGGTACGACAGTGGCGTCGCAGGAAGTTGGGCCACTGGTGGGTCTCCAGGATTACAGCACCAAGGATATAGAAGCTTCGACAAGGCTGACGCGAAAGTCGACGCCCATGATTTGGCATATTCAGCGCACGCACCGGTTGCCAACGGTACCGATTAAACGAGATTTTTTTACTCTTTTCGTGTTATCTGCCATGGAAAGACTTGGAAATACCCGAAAGCCATATCTCGCGGAGCCAAAAAACCTTCTCGAGGCCATTGGACCCACCTACGACTGCTAGATTATATGGAGGGGTAAATACCACAGGGGTGTAAGTCAAATTTTTAAAAATATTTCCTTGGTGCATAGATGCAATCTGTGCAATATATAAATTGCATCTATGCACACGAGAAAATATTTTTAAAAATTTGACTTTTACGCCACTGTGGTTTTTGCCCCTCCATATGTAGTATTTATATATCTACGTTATATGTAATTTATATCAACTAAATAAATTATTTATTAATTGTACGTATTAAATAACTAAATTGTTTGTACTTAATAAATTATTCATAAAAAAAGTATATCCCAGAGAAATATTTGTAAAACATTCTTTTTTTTCCGCTCTTGTTAAATACAAATCAGTATTAAATTTCTAATTTGGAGAAATTATCGTCACAGCGCAAGATTCGATGCAGTACGATGCATAGAAAACCTCGTACGTGATTAGTTTCTGCTAAAGCGAAATATTGACAGCTTTCGGCGTGCAATTGTAGCCGATCGAGCTCATAGCCGATTCCAATCGTATATGAGCTCCAATCGGCATACCTTCAGGTCATTTACACTCCCACTTCTGTTTTCTTCGGTCTTTCTTTCGTCTTAGCCGCTACTTCTGTCACTCGTTCCATTTCTCTTGTTCGACTGACTTCCGACTGCATGATTTAGGACACAAGTTTTACATACCATACCGTGTCACCAAGAGACACGGAAATCTAATTTTCACCAGACTGTGCGTTGATGATGTATGCTGATCGTAAACATAGGAGATGATAATTACTTAGAGTCTTACAGACCATTGTATGTATATGTGATGCAAATAAACCGTAGGTGCATACAAATAAATTAGAAATTTCCTAAATGAAACGATTTCTTTTCTCTCTCTCTCTGCAATAAAATATACGTTTATACAAAAAAGTGTACATATACTAGAAGAAGAGTAATTGAACGATAAAACATGATATTTTCGAAATTATTTTATTTATTTTAGTTAATTACAAAAACTTTTGTTATTAGATACTTTATAAAATTTTATAATTACTTAGTTTTTAATTGGAAAAGACTCTTGGAAAAGAAGCTGAAAGGTCCTAGAAAGAAATTTTCTAGGTTTGATAGTAAAATTCCGAAAGTAAAAGGAAAATTTGCTTGTGCCGGTGTATTCTACGTCACGCGATTCTTGTGCATTGCATGTTCAAGTTAACTCTTCAGAGAGTCGACAGAATTAAAATTCTTGACACTACTGCCCTTGCACGTTGCTTGCCAAATAGTTCAGTATTGGCCCCACCACTAATCGGTCGTGGTTCGTATAAAAGAAAAATTGTTCTGGGGGCAAACAGTCAAAAACGCTTCTTCGAAGGCACGCATATAGCACTTCGCAACAATGAAGACCAAAGTAATCATCCTCTTAGCGTTGCAACTGCTGACGTTGGTGATAGGCGAGCCAAGCCAAGAAGATGGAAACAGTTTGGAACATCTAGAAGGGAAGCTCACGAGAGCGATGGACGAATTCAACAGAAAAGATATCATCGACATTTACGGCGATATGGTAACCCTCGAAAAGGTTGTGGGAGACGGGGAACCATCGGAAGAGAGCGCGGATCCGCTTGTGAGCAGGATCGAAAAATTCCTGAGAACTCGAAAACTACAAATTAATCTTCCTAATGACGCTTCAACTGCTGGTTTGTTCGCACGCGCTCTCGGTCAGAGGAACATCGATATAGACCTCCGAAGTTTGGCACGTGGAACATCCGAAGGTAAACAGATGTATTACGAGCAAATTATTATAAATGGAAATTTAAATAGAAAAAACGCAACTATGATTATTTTGTATTTAACTAATAGAACAATGCGCTGTCAAATTAGAGATAACTGGAGCGTATACTTTCTAAAGTTTTTGTGAATTTGCGTAACGAGATTGCGATTAGAATAATTTGAGGAAATATGCTAGTAATGCCAATTTGAGATACTTAACTTTATATAATAAAATCTATTGCATTTTTACAGATTATATATTTAAAACAATTTCAATAAGCTCAAAAAGCAATAATTTTTTTTTGGAGTATAAAAATATTTGAATATCTGTTTGCAGTGGGTACAATGTTTAGAAAAATATTTCAAAACCTTCGAAGATATTTTATTTAAATAAGCATCCATAAGCAAATATTTCAATCCATTAAGTCTATAAAATTAAGTCTATATTAATCTCGCTTAATATTATATGTATGAACGCTGTATTTTTCTATAGATGCATATGAATATGTTAAATACTGTTTCTCTTTTAAACACTTATATAAATTATTTGATAAATACATTTAATATACTTCTTATACCTAATTGATTTGTAGATTGATCTTACGCATTATCTTTCCTATACATGTTAAATTTATACTTTTCTTTCGCAAGAATTTTTTACAACTAAGTTTTTCATGTGAACAGTTTTGAACATTAAGTTTAAAGTCCTTGTTAGATTCTCGTCAGACTTATGTTAGATACTTGGATCTAACAAAAGTCTCTTATTCTTCTCTAACGTTCCGATCTGGTATGAATACATCATTCAGTGGGCGCGAACTTATAGTACCTCACCTTTCTAAAGTCTCGCCAATGGGGTTTAAGTAGCTCACGAATCTCGGGATTCATTGGCTGGAAAGTGTAACTTGTATCTTTCTTTTCAATTCAATCGTGGCCGGAATACCATTCACACACATCCTATATGTATCTCTCTCTAGCGCCCACCGTTCTCTCTAGTTCACCGCTTGTCTTATACTTACAAATTTTCTTGAATTTTTTTCATTCACGTATTTACAATGTGTAAAATAATTTTTTCACGCGATTCTGAAAATAATGAAAGATTCGGGTACGCATAACGTATTAATGTACGTTTATCGATGGTCACTGAGAGAGGGAGGTGAGAGCGATCGGAATGAAGGATTCGCGTATACGTAGAAAGCCACAATGATGCGTTCCACTTCTACCATGTTCGCGAAATAAATGCCGGAGGTAGGAGTGGACCAAAGTGGGTCTCCGTTTGGTAGATATGGTGGGATTCCGGGTTTCTGGGACGGCTACCGCGAGAAGAGACGTCTGAGAAGGACCTTGAACGAGAGTGTCGCGTGTCGAAGAAAGTAGACTGGATGATAAACGTCCGTTATAGCTTTTTAGAAATCCTCAATCATCCAAGTATTCTGCGATTATTGATATCATCTTTATGTATTAATTCCGTTCTACCATTCCTATTGTAGCAATGCAAATGTTATACATGTATATGTTTCGTATCTCTCATAAACTCATACATATATAATACGACTCGCACTATAATTCGACTTCGTACTTGAACATTCTTCTCATTATTTCTTCTTTTGTTGTAATTGTTAGGATCTAGATACACATGCATACGTTAACTGACAATTTTAAGAAAAAAAATTACATCATTACTTACAAGATATTGTATATGTTTCTTACAGCGCGTACGAAATTGAAGAGGATGATCGTGCCACTCTTGATCCTGCTGAAGCTAAAAGCAATAATCGTTCTGCCTATCGTAATTAGCCTGATCGCCCTAATAGGTATGAAGGGGTTGGGCGCAGGTCTTATGTCGCTCTTGATTTCCGGCGCGGTAGCCTTGAAGGCCCTTGTTACACCACCGCCGCCGCCAAGAGTCTCCTACGGAATTGTAAGACCGCACGAAATTCATCACGATCACTGGCACAGGTCAGAAGAAGAGGTCAATCAACCTTACAGAGGCTGGGCACCGGAATACAATGGCGAACATTATCCGTACCATGAAATCCCATAAAATACAATGTCCGGCCCCTTGCCATTCGCACTCGTTTACTTATTTATTTATTTATTGCGTGTCTGCATATGCTTGCTTTATACAATAAAATAAATCATCCTTTTTATAAAATTTTGTCTTGTTCATTGTGAGACATGGGAGACGACGCCGCGACGTAGTATCACCATGACATCGACGAACCGTCAAAAACGTCGTATCATTGCAGCGATTGGTAAATTGCCAAGCTCAGATATGTCATATCTTATTAATGCTCGACCTAAATGCGCATGTGTTATCCGCGACATCGATAATAAGGATTACTTGCGGCAAAGATTTTACGATTTGTAAATAATTAAATAAATATCGAAAAAGAGAGCTATATACACATATACATATAAATATATAGCTGTAGCTGTAAGCAGGTTACTCAGTCGGTCAGACGAGAAGGCTAATGACCTAGATGGAGGTTCACGGACGGAGGAAAGATAGAATGATGTTGCGCAGGTGGGAGAAGCGGAGAAAGACCGGATCAAGGTGGGGAACTAGGAAGAGGAAGGAAACGAGGTTACTGTGTCGGGAGCGAGGTAGGAAAGCGGATCGTAGCTGTGATTGGTCTACCGAGTTCCCCCTCGGTGCCTCGCACGTAACAAGGTCAGTGTGTCAATGTCTCCACGTGGTTCTCCACTTCTACCAGTAGATACGACCGTGGCCTTCGTGGTAGGGATTGAAATAACGGTATCAGTTGTGATTAGTCGAGTCGTTCGAGAGGAGTGGAACAGTGAATACGGGTATATATAGGCTGTTAGAGAGGCCAGCACCGTCGAGAAGTGGCGAACATGATGAGGAACGGAAGCTCTGATCGCCTGATCTCAAATGCTCAGGCATTCTTTTTTTAATAATTGAAAGGGACACGTTATTGTTTGTAAGATCGCAGACACTCTGCAAGTAGTCAACATTTTTCACGTATAATTCTACATCCAATTTCATTTTAATAATATATTTCCTGTAATTCTATAATTCAATTAATTTAAGTTATTTGGTTATATTATCAAACGATTTTCTTTGTCATGATTGATAACAAAAGCACAATAAGATATTTGTTAATAAATTTAAGATTATTGTTATAAACTTTTTCTATGTAATAATACAAAAATTATAAATATTTTAAGCCACATTAAATATTTTAAGTCTTATTAAATTGCGAATGTAGATTTTATAAATAATTCAATACTTTCTTCGTTTTCAACATTCTTTTCCAATAATTTGATATACAAATATAATTTTGCTCTTTAATGAGACTTGTATAAAAACTAATAAATTTTTTAAACAATATATACTTTTAACAAATAAATTTGTTTACATTTTAATACTATTCTCTTTCAATATATTTCTTTAATAAATACCACACACATATCATGTAAAACTCGGTACGTTTTTCTATATACTTAACTATTAATTTAATGTATTAATTTATTAATTATATGCATTTAAAGGAAAAATTTTTACAAAATGTAAAAATTAATTTGCGGGTGTATAAAGAGACAATGTATGATATACAGTAGTATATCCTTATTCTATACTGTTATTTTATAAAAATTATTTTAATATTTGTAAATATTGCATGATGTAGAGGCATTCTATATATATTAAATTTGTGTGCTATCGGAAGTATTTTTTATTTTAGTTAAGAAAGTAGATCTAGGAATTTCTTGCGGATATCTTTGATTCAAAGACTATCAATACAGCAATAAATTATTTCGCATCTTGACATGACTGGGCCAGTAGCGACCAGTTTGCTTGAAATACAACTTACTGAGAAAATGGCAACGCACGTAATATGGTGGCTGTATAGACTAATAGACTAGGCTATTCTTATAAATTCCCACCGTCGAGGCAGAAGAAATTCGCGGTATGTAACGTTCACTTTAGACCGCCGCGAAAAAATTGCGAAAGTATAAATGCACGCAATGCATTTTGAGTACATAACGGATATACGTTCTCGAATTAACGAGGTCTATGCAATCACTCGAGCAGCACTCAGTGTATTAAATGCGGTAATTCCACCTTTCTTCTTTCCTTCTTGTTTCACACCTCGACGCATAAATCATATACGCACTAAATGCGCGTATTTGTATCATACACTTTCCTAAAATAAATTCATGTACTGTCTAATTGCGAAAATTATGTTATTTTCAACAACAAACTAATGTTTATAAATATATATAAATAAGAAATTGTTAGACGTATGAATAAGAATATAAATAAGAAATTGTAGACATATCTTAAACAGCTAAGTATAATGCAAATATCTTTATTCATTAAATTTATTTTTTTACTGTAATATTCTTTAATTTTTATATAATTAATATATTTAATGTAGCAAAAACCATTTTACTATAACTTTTATAGGAATTTGAAAGAAAAAATAAATACGGCACAATACTATTTTTATATAAATGTAGAAATCAAAATAACGAATCAGATTTTCCCGTTAAAGCATTGGAATCTTGAGTTTTCTGCGGCAAAAAAGGAACGGTAGTACCCAACCATTTATGGAATATAATAACGATTTGTATGCATGTGCTAAAGGAAGGAAGGATAACAATTGTTTTCTTGGAAACAGACCGTCCGTAAAAATTTTGCAGGTACCGTTTATTAACGGACAATATGGTAAACAACGTTCCAAACGGGCTCGGTAATTTTCAGCTTTCCAAGACAATCAATTTCTCCATATTAAGTATTTTTTTCTAAATTCCTAACAGTACTATTGTACTGACATTCTAACAATTTCGATGCGTAAGAACACGATTTGCCGCAGTAATCGTCAGGGAGAAATTATTGACACATTTTCTGATCTAGCGTGAACATTCCCTGAATTGTCGCAAATTGTTGGGTGAGTACGAGCGACTTTCTTGAAATAACGAGTATCTCAATTTTGACTGAAAATGGAGTAACTATGCGTTATGGAACGTACAATCATTATAGTCTTCTATACAATCTGTACGAATTCACCTGCCATGATGTTATGTTCGCACTTGCGAATATATGCTGTCTCTTATTTTCGGAGCACCCCATACTTAAAAAAATTTCATATTTTCTATTTTAGAAAGACCTTATTTTTATTCTAGAAACATTTTTCGATAAGTATATTTATCTTATAAATTAGTATTTAATTCACTCAAATTCATTGTATCTTAAAATTTATATACAAAATTTGAAAATATGAATAAATAAATTTAAATAAATATTAACGTTTGCAAACTTCTTTCCTATTCTTTCTGTCTTTATCTGCCGCCAGCTATTTGATGATAAATTGCGAGATACAAAAACCTTGATTTTTTTATCGGATGTCCCAAATACAGCGCAATATTGCGGTTTCAACTAAAGCTTGGTAATTTAACAGGAAACACAGATTACATTACGGGTTATTTGATTGAGATCTAATAGAATAAAAAATCTGATAAAAATTGCAACTTCAGAATAAATGCGTGAATCAGAATAGGCGCGGCTGAATCCGATCGGCGTAACGTAATACCTTTTTCATTCCTGCGATTTTTGATTTAATTAGTAACGCAGATAAACGAAAAACGATTTTTAGAATTGTTCCACGTTGTCCTTTTCGTTGATGTTTACGACCGTAAAGCCGACGCCCACTGCACCACTGATTCGATCTGTCGCGCATAGTTTCGCGAGAACAGAATCAGCACGACGTGTTCGAGATTATTAACGAAAGGAAGGCACTACGTGAAAAGGAAGCAACAAATCGCGAAATGCATGCCTCTGAAAGAAGGTCTAGTCCGTTCTAAGTCGGCACACCTGCCGCAGCAACATGCAAGCGCGTGATATCGAAACGTGGAGGCGCTCGTGTTGTGCATACGCACACGCGCACGCAACGATAAGGCCCCATCGAGTTGCCCGTGAAAATCGACTGCGCGGTACTTTCACATCGGCAGATCCGTCTGAAGCGCCGTTGCTCGAGCGTAGCGCGCGAAAATCGGATCTCCTACGAGCTAGCTAAACTGGGCTGATTTAAAGTAGGACTCCCGTCTCGTTTCGCCTCGCCCGCAATTACAATTTTCACAATATACTTATCGGCAAACTTTTCAATTTGCAATATCCACTCGCGCTCAGTTCGTAAACTCCGCAAACACAATATGTGCACCATCGCTCTCTTGGTTTCGTTCTTGAAATCGAAAGTGATTTCACACTGGGCGATCGGGGGTTCCAATCCTGATCCTGGTAATTAACATGTGCTCCGGTTGATCGGTCTTATCGCTCAAATGCCTTTATTATAATATCGCCTCTAATTTCAGTTGATTTCTGTTTCACCCCTTTAAATGGTTATTAATCTCTTAGAGATAGTTCAAGAACGAGAAGATTTCTAGGCTATCCGGATCATATAGACACTTACATTATACGTCCTACATTATAGCCCAAACGTTTATTATTTTATAAAATAATTATATATAATATAAAGGGTTGGAACATTTATATGATTTTTACATAAATATTTTTATAATTTCTATATTTATAATTTTATAATTATATTTCTATAATTAAAAAAATTATAATTTTTTACAAATATATTTAATTGTGCAAAAAATTGTGTAACGTAAAACAGATTCCTAATTTTTATAAGCTATTTCACTACAACATAAGCATGCTCAAAAGTGAAAATAATATGGAGAAAATCTTCGTAGACTATAAACATCGATAAACATGTAAGGAGTAATGATGCGCACATGAAAAATAATTGCATTGTTAAAAAGATTGATCGCGTACACATTAACTATAACTGCCGATTGAATTGGCATTAACGTGATCAGCCTTCGCTCTCATTCATCATCTCATATCCGTTCATTGGTAACGTTTTTTCCCGTAAATTTGACTCAGATTCGAATTCTCCGCTCTATTTGACGCTCCCTCTCGCCACTGCTGCTGGACGGCTGCGAGAAGTTCCTGCCTCCTCTTCGACGTCCGCAAAGAAGAGAGTTCCGTCGCCGGTGCTCTCGACTACGGAGAATGTATGGAACGACCGAAAGGCAAAAAGGAAAAAGGACTATCCGTTGACTCGCTCTATATATACTGCAAGTATCCGAGGGTATGCCCAGTGCACGATACGCGTCTCATCCGTCAGCTTCAAGGTCCTTTGTCTTCGAGGATATCGTCGTGTTACTGGCGATCAGTAAACCTGGGGCGAAAAAAATAACTGCACGAATTCGCGCGTTCTCCAGCTAGACTTCGTGGAAACATCCAAAAATTCACGATGAAAGGAATTACGCACGTTGCCCAATTGTCACGTTGTCATCTCCTTCTTCTGCTACTTTTTTTTTCGGGATGCGCCAATGCGGAGATCGAGAGACGCACCGCGAGGCAAATGGTAGAAGATGCGGAAAATCTGGAATCTAATTTGAACAAAGATTGCGGGAAGTCGTACAGTGCCACGTGCCTTAAGTTGGACGTGGTGTCCTTCCTGGATAAATTGTCGGAACAGGAGAATATCGGTATCCTGCCGGGTGTATCTGTGATCAAGGAGAACAGTTCCGCCAATGTTCCACCATCGGAAGTAGTCGCCAATTTGGCGAGAGATTTCCCGAATGATGTTGAGAAAAGGCTGGATGCCTTTTTGATTCATAAGGTCGGCAGTTACCTTAATAGCCACTCAATTTCTATCAAACTTTTCGATCCGAGGACTTTTGAAGCTGCCAGGAGCTTCAACGAAGAGACACTTGCACAACTCGGCTTAGGTGGCAACCAGAATGTTGAAACAGGTTAGAAAAAAATGTTAAATTTCAGTTTTATCTGTTAGCAAAGCTGTAAGACAATGAATCCTCGCATAGTCAGTCAATGTCACATTGTGATTTGTCACATAAAAACGGTTTTTTTTTATTTTACGATTTTTTTATTTGACAGGACGTAAAAAAAACCAAGGCAACGGCTTGATGGCCGGTCTACTAATGATGAAGGGCACCCTCGGCATGATGGGATTCGGCGCAATTGCGCTCCTCGCAGGAAAAGCTCTGATGACGGGTCTCTTAGCGCTCATGTTATCAGCTATCATCGGATTGAAATCCTTAGCGCATCACGGCGAAAAGAAGACCACGTACGAAATTGTTAGCAAACCGGTGTACTCCAGCTCGCACACGCACAGCTCGGAAGAGCATCACGGACACGGATACGGACATTCCGGATACGGAAGGTCCCTCGATACTGTTCACGATTCTCTTCAGCAGGCTGTGCTGAAGTACGGCAACGCGCATGATCGTAGATCGCTTTTGCAAAATTAAAATCATCCAATCAAGTTCGACGAGGTGTTCGCACACCGCCGCGCCGGTACACCATAAAATCTTTAGCACATCTCTACCTCACCGACTTTCCTTGTTGTTTCTTTTCTTTCATGTTCAAGCACTGTCAACTTTTCTCCCGATCTGTCTACGTCTTTTCTTCATTTCTATCTATTACTTCGTCTCTTACTTGTCTTTCTTCTTCGCCATCATCACACTTTCTTCCTTCTAAGATCTCGTCCAGTCTCATTTCATCGCGATTCACGAATTATCACCCTATTATTATTTATAGTCATATAGGTATTTATTGCGGCCACTGTTGCATTTTCGACTGGTACCTATCGAGAAAGCGTATCATCGTCGAGTACGCAGAGTTGCCCAAGATCATGTACATGATTTTTGGATATTTATTTCGTTATTGTAAAGTTGTAATAAAGAACATTTGTAAAAACATATGGTGTTATCATTATTGTAATAAATGCAACAGTTAAGAAATCGAACAATAAATCGTAGAATAACATCGCGCGATAACTTTATTTTATTGTCTAGCGATAGTCATCAGAGATAACTTAAATGAGAGAATTATGTTCAACTCTTCTAACTATTCTTCTAACTTGATGTAAATGCATTCATACAAGTATATCACGCGCTGAAAAGTGCACGTACTTTCTGTTACGGCAATTACATTTACGTTACTGTTAAACATATACATTTCTAAAGGTGAATGTACGGACCAATTAAGAAGTAATAAGGCCAACACCTTCACCATGTTAGACTATCAGACTGGCAGTTCTGCATCGGGTCATAAAGTATTGCCATTCTCAAGGCGCATGAATCCTACATTATTAATTATATATGTACATATGCATATGGTGTTCCAAGTATTTAATATAAACCCTATAACTGCTGTCATAATTATAAATATATACGCTTATAGAAAATGGTATGCCAGTTTTTTAAACCGTTAGTAAGAAAAGTAAGAAAAACTATGACATATTTTTTGCTGATATAATAAAAAACAATAATTTATATAATATTTTCTACAAAAAATATTAAGAAACTTGATAAAATCGATAAATTTTCTTTGCTAACAAAAAAATGTAGAATTAATAAGACATTATAATTAAACATTTCTATAAATTGAATAATACAATTCTGTCAACAGAGATATTCGTTAAATATATTCTTATTATTGGTTACTATCCTCGCTTTTATTTCGATTATAAATGCTGTAATCCTTTAACTTATAAATTTCTATTCTGTTCTGTTCGTGTATAATTAATTTAGAAGTGGCACAAACTGTCTCATTCTACAAATGTTCTTATAAGCGTGTCAGTTTATTACAGCAGGTCGTAATGCAGCATCCGGAAATATTTGTTATTGTTCGCTTATGCCATCCATGGTTGTGGCTGAAGCTCGATGAATGATTCTGATTTACCTTTTCAGCCTTATTATTAGCAGTCTATTTATCTCGCTGCAAGTAATGACAATCGTGACAAAACGTTGGAAGAATACCGCGAATGACATAAATCTCAATGTATATAAGCGATTGTGATGACCCAGAGATCAGTCAGTGTTAACCAGTGTTCCTCCCAAAGTTATCTTCGTTATCATCGTCATCGGAATCGATCAACGTTTTACTTGTCTTACTGTGCAAAAGTGCGTGAACCTATGTTCATTTTTTGTTTGTTGATCACGTGCGTGATCCACGTGAATGCGTACGAGAAGAATGGGATACGAAACATCAAGGATTACATCCTTGATACGGAATTACACAGGATACCAGTCGAACGCCAAATATTCAACTTAACAAAAAATGGCTTTAAAATCGACGTGAAGGTCGTCTCATTGACCAGGAATAATTCGGTGCAAAATAAAAATGATTCTTTTCCGAAGTTTCCTGTAAAAGATATAGGGAAATGCATCATTGAATTTTCGCTTGGTTGCATCAAGAAACGTTTTGTCCGTTTCTTAGAAACAGTAAGTCGCCTCGATGAAATCACATTATTTGGGCAAGATGTGAAGTTAGTGAAGAGCAGAACAGTACGTAGATCTGAGGCTCGATCTATGAATGACTCGGACGTCAGTATCGAGCGCAGCGTAGATGATTTCTTCGATTCCTATACTCTGCGGATCACGCTACCTAGATGGAACAGCAAGCGAGAAAAGAATCAGATCGATGTGATGTTTGACGAGACAGCTGTAGCAGAAGGTTAGCGCAACAGCCGTTAAAGTATAGACTAAAAAGATATCTTAAAAATATCTAAGTAGCACACTAAAATTTGTCGCGCACTTAAAATCTCTATAAAAAAACATTTTTAGAACTTTTATTTAAAAAATTATTTTTTTCTATATTACTAAATTATTAAATATCATTTGTTATAGGACGAGGAAAGAAAGGAGGCGGAGGCGGATGCGGTGGAGGCAAAGGCGGAAAATGCAAGATGATGATGATGGGCATGATGATGATGTTAAAAATGAAGCTAATAGGTAATACTATTTATCCCTTTCGTATTTTCCTGTATTTGCGAACATATTTCTATTATTTGAATATATATTTGTTGCACAAAGTCTTAAAATTACATCAGATTATGATAAAATATAATCAAATATTTCTCTTGAATACAATAGGATTGGCAGCGTTTAAAAGTATGATGATGGGCGGAATGTCTCTGATGCTTTCAATGATGACGTTCATGAAAGGGAAAGGCGGCGGAGGTGGCGGTCCTTGGAAAGGAGGAGGAGGAGGAGGAGGAGGTAAAATTGTCCTTCTCACGTTCTGTTTATCGTGTCTAATTAAAATAAAATACAGATACAATTAATTCTTTAATATTCTTACTAATTTTTGGTTAAACTTCTACTAAAAAATTTTGATAATTATAAATCGCGTTTTAACATCTATAGTGTAAGAAATCAATATACATATAAAAGCAATTTTTTTCAATAAAATCCATAAATAACACAAAATTTAATAATACTTTCGTAAAATATTAACAATAACAATTAACGTCTCTGATATCTTGACGGTTTCCAGACCAATACAAAGAGATAGTACTTCTTACAAAATCTTCGGGCGGTGGCGGGGGAGGGGGCGGTTGTTGCGGTGGCGGTGGCGGACCTAGCGATAGTTATGGTGCACCTCCACCAAGTAGTTATGGCCCACCCTCAGGAGGCGGCGGCGGTTATGGCGGAGGAGGAGGTGGATGGGGTCGCAGCTTCCACAAACGGCCAATGATATACGACAAAGAGACTAAGACAGAAATTGCGGATGGATCTAATTACATTCCAATGACAGGGGAAGTCATGTCGAATGCAGAAAGTACTGATTATCTGGACTATCAGGATTATCAAGAACCATCATCAATTAAAAATTCAAGTTCTGTAATTTCTAATTGGAACGCGCCAAGCTACACTGACTTCCACCAATACACGGGCCCCAGCGTAAGTACCGATTTGGCAAAGAATAATTTGAAGTCAGAAGCGACAGGAAATGCGAAAGCAGCGAAAGGAAGAAGTTTCATCTTTGACGAAAATCCAATCAATCCTATCAATATTGTAAATGTAATGGAGAAGAATGTTGATTCAATGACAACCACGAATCAACCTGTTGCTGACGTTACTCATGAATTTACCACAAATACAGTGTATATGGATGAATGGCAGGCTACAGCTGAAAAAACAAGTGCCAATAACGTGTTATCAACAAATTCGACTGCAGAAATGGAATTGCAGCAAACCAAGTTGCGGTCTAGGGATATACCTTTGTTACATAAAATTTAGATCTTTCATTATTAATTATATATGGCGTCATCGTGTATATGTATTTTTAAATAAATGGTACTGTAACTGTTACACAATTTTTGAAAAGATTTATTTTATTCCTAATATTCCAAATCCTTTTTTTATAAGAAGCAATTTAATGTATAAATATAAAAAAAGACTTTCTTTTTGATAAAATTAACATATTATTCTTATTTATTCATTTATTCTATTCTTATTTGTGTGAAAAATTTCTCATTTTACTCCTATAGAAATATTTTTATGAAGATTTTGATTGATTTTTGTCTGTAAAGTAGTGGCGCAATCTTTTGAAGAGTCTCTCAAGCTTCTTTCTATGACTGTCTAGTAAGTAACTGACCTTGAATGTTGCTGGAAGTATACGGAATCCGTTTTATCGAGTACACCTGGTATACCGATTGAGAAGCTGCAGCATGGCGAACCGATGACACTAGGTGTCGAAAACTATTCCTGTAGTCAATCATGTTCAAGATTGAACAGATGTGTATACGGATCGCCTTGAAGAACAGTTAAAACGTATTCACGACCCGTAACGGTTTTTCTTTTGCGTCATATTCTATAGATATTTTTATTTCATCGCTTTACGTCTTCGACATATGTGCGTATTTTTAAAGCAAAAAATCGGTCGCAATTATTTATGATTGAATCCTTTTAAAAATTTAAATATCATTTAATATCATTTAAATTTCAGATATCAACAGACTTCATTACAAAACTTTATTTTATTTTTTAGAAAATTCGTTAATTTATTCAATCTTTATCTAGCACATTTAATTGAATAAATCTGTGCTTCATAAAAACAATCACTAAAATAATACATTAAAAATTAAGAAATTTAATACATCATTTAAAAAATATTCTAATTAATTAAAGCTTATAAAATAATTTTTTGTTGAATCAAACTAAAACTCAAATAAAATTGACAAGAAGCGTGAGAAGTAAAGACTCCTTAGAAAATATGTAAATTTCATATTAATTAATCCTTAAAAAATTTGCTAAAGTATTATTTTGAGTTAGCTGCTGTATAAATATGATATGGTGCATCTTTGAACACACACAATACACACACAATCTTATAATTTAATGTTTTGTTTCACTTACTTGAGATTATCTGTTTGTGTAATACACAGTTATACTTTGCATATTGAATGTTATACACAAAATTCTTAAGTTGTCTGCGGTTTTTACTCGTGCAATGATCGACC